CATAATGAACCGATTCTACATTCTGCTGGAACTATCTACATGCTCCTGTGCCAGCTGGTCCCCATCATGTCATTATCTCTGTGTCTATCCCATGGACTAATCAAACACCATCGAGTATTTGCAACCTTAGAATTCGGGGATACATTGATAAGTCGAAGTTTCCAACAGAAAACAGAAGAAAAAATCAAGCCATGTCCGCGATATTATCCCCATCTGCTTGAGACAACATATCAGCATTCAGCGTATCATATCTCAACCATTTTCAGCAAATCTGTAATTGTCCAGCACAATATGAATGGAGTACTGTTCCCCAGTTCTTCAACAGAAACTTTAACGGTGTACACATAGTGTTCTGTATACTTCTTGGAAACAAGTATTTTACCTCAAACAAAACAGACCCAATTTTTATATCTCCACCATTTACAATGTTCACATACTTCTTACTTTTCGACGACGAAAGATTTTTCCCATGGTTGATTTGTATTGTTATAGTGCGCCATTTGCGTTATTATTCCTTATGTCAAAGAAAATTTGATCTTTGATAAAATGTCAAATGTGATAATGCTTAACTTTTCTATGCTTTCTATTATTTAAAATGTTTCACAGCGTTACCTGAGTAACCAGTAACCACTGTTCAACTAACAATACTTCGGGGCAACTCAACACAAAGGGCAATTCCGTCATGCAGCTAGAGTGGTCACTTCGTGTCAGTCTTATTCCCTTAAGCAAATCAATACCTTGTGTTAGCTGACGCCTCGGTCAGCATAGCAGATTGTCTTATCCCCAAATGCCCCTTTGTTTACAGTCAATTTGCTGTACGTAATCTATATCTACATAATCTTACTTCTTTGCTAAGGTAACCCTTTTTTATGCGTTGTATTGCTACTAAACTAATGTCCAAAAGAAACGATACCACACATTTTTCTAAATATTTTATTATGAAGAGTTAATTTTCGTCTCAAAAGGTACTTTTGCGTATCCTACGTTCCAAACCAAACGTATTCGGTCGATAAAACCGGGAACATTTGATCAATTGAGAAAAAAGCGTGCAATTTGCCCAAATGACGTTCCGTCCCGTAACACGAAATGCACGTGCATATCTTCTGTATAAAACTGCTGACCCGACACGTTGGGATCACAGAAACAAAAAGCACACAAAAGAAATGCCACGTTTGACAGCGATTGAGAGAGAGAGAGAGGAATGCTCCAATAGGGAGCTACGCACCGCGACGTCGCCAGAAGGTTAGGATGCGCGCGCATAACCGTCACTGGGTTAATGCAGTGGTTGCGTCAAACAGGTCGGACAGCAGACAGGCCGAGAACCTGGAGACCACGGGTGACCACGCCTATTGAAGACCGCCACATCCGGGTACTTCACCTTCGGAACCGCTTCGTAACGGCGACGTTAACGGCACGGACGGCACTGGGACACGTGATAAGTCGACAAACCGTGTACTGGAGACTGCGGGTACATGGTATCCGAGCACATCGCCCCTACCGCGGAGCGTTCCTGACACCTCAACACCGACTCAACAGACGCATATGGGCCAGGCGACTTCGACGGTGGCTGTTACGAGAGTAATCCTTTTCCGTCATAACTGCACACATTCTTACTTTTGTATGTAACCCTGATGCGTTCTACCTCATTAAAATAGTATACCAACATGGTGTCAGAAGTGGAGCGATTTTGGCGGAAACAAAACGCTAATTTCGGGTTGAAACTCCATTGTCAATGACTTTACTGACTCGTGAGTGTAACATTTATCAATAATAAGCCTGTTGAGGGCCAGTTGCATTGAAGAAAAACTTCGAAGCACTCGTCAGTTGAACAGTTAGACTTCGTCGTTCATACTCACGAGTCACGTGGTTTAAAAGTTATAAAACATTGATGTTGTGAACGCTCCACGTTAAACAAGTCCTAAACTTGAATTCAAAGTTTAAAGTGTACGTTTGAGACACTATGTCAGCCAGTCATTTCCCTGTGCCCGCTCCTATGGATTTTAAGGGTGATTTATGTGGAAACTGGACATTTTTCCGATCTCAATGGGACAATTACGTTGTCGCTACAGAGTTGACAGAGACAAGTGATGAAATTAAAGTGGCAACAGTTATGGGCAAGGAATGCTTTAAAGTTTATCAACATCTTGATATGTCTGATGAAGATAGAAAGAAAGCTAAAGCCATTTTAGACAGCTTAGAGGCACATTTTAAGCCAGCTAGAAATGTGATTTATGAACGCTATGTGTTCAACACTGCCAATCAGGAACAGTCAGAAACTATTGACCAGTATGTGACTAGGTTAAGACACCTTGCATCAACATGTGATTTCGGACAATTACGTGATGATCTTGTGAGAGATAGAATAGTTCTGGGTACTAAAGATAGTGGTGCTAGAGCCAGAATGCTTCGTGAATCTGGACTTGATTTGAAACATGCTATAGACACATGTAGAGCCAGTGAAGTTTCTAAAAGACAGTTACAAGCCACACAGACTACATTGCATACTACAAATAAAGAAGAAACGATCCATGCCTTAAATCATAGAAAACATAGCAAGTTTGACAAACGCAGCAAGTCACACAAGGTGTCAAGGTCTGCTGAGCCTAAAATGAAAATGGACCTGATCAAGTGTAAATTCTGTGCAAAGGAACACGAGAAAGACAGAACCAAGTGTCCTGCCTATGGTAAACAGTGCTCTAACTGTAAGAAATTACACCATTTTGCCAGTGTGTGTAAGTTCAGAAAACGAGAGGCTGTGCGGTACGTTGACACATGATTCGGAGTATCAGGACAGTGAAGAGAGTTCTGATGAGGCAGTGTTCTACAATGAACACTTTGTTGGCTCAGTGAAATCCAAGGGCAAACAGTGGTTTGTCTCTCTGAACTTACACTATCCAGGGTCCAAGTTGATTCAAGACATTGAATGTCAACTAGATTCAGGTTCCACATGTAATCTTGTCAGCTACAAAGATTTGAGCTACATTGCTCAAAATGGAAACCCTGTAATCAAAGAGAGCAACGCGAAACTCAAATTATATGATGGTTCATCGATGAAACCTCTTGGTAAAGTGTGACTTCAGTGCAAGGTAAAAGGCAAGGTTCATGTGCTGGAATTTCAAGTCCTTGAGTGTGCACAGAAGCCACTGCTATCAGCTGAAACTTGTGAGTCTTTAGGATTGATGACACTCACAGTTGATGACAGCATTCACAGTGTGAGCAGTGAAGCTACTCCTCTGACCTTTGAACAAGTCATGAACCAGTATGATGATGTGTTTCAAGGACTGGGCTGCTTGCCAGGAACCTACCATCTTGATGTAGATCCAACAGTTAAACCTGTACAGCATCAACCTCGTCGAATGGCCGTCGCTATGAAAAGTGAAGTGAAGAAAAAAATCAATGAACTTGTTGACAAAGGTGTGTTGGCAAAAGTGACTCAACCAACTGACTGGATCTGCAGTATGGTTGTTGTGAAGAAGCCAAACAAGATTCGTATATGCCTGGATCCAAAAGACTTGAATAAGGCATTGAAACGTTCAGACTACCAGATTCCTACAATTGACAAAGTGCTTCCTCGTCTTGGAACAGCCAAAGTCTTCTCGACTTTGGATGCAAAAGATGGATTTTGGCAAGTAGAACTGGATGAAACAAGTAGCTACCTAACTACCTTCTGGACTCCTCTAGGACGATACAGGTGGCTACGAATGCCCTTTGGCATCGCAACAGCTCCAGAAGAATATCAGAGACGTCAGCATGAAGTTCTGGAAGGTTTACCTGGTGTAGATGTAATTCATGATGACATTCTTGTCTTTGGCTGTGGAGACACAATTGAAGAGGCCACACGAGATCATGACCAAAATCTCATCAGTCTACTGCAAAGAGCAAGATCGATCAACCTGAAGTTGAACAAAACAAAACTACGACTTCGGAGGTCAGCAATACCTTACCTTGGTCATCTTCTTACAGCAGAAGGTCTCAAACCTGACCCTGACAAAGTGTGGGCTATCACAGAGATGCCCCAGCCAACTGACAAGGGGCTGTTCAACGCTTCATTGGTTTCATCAATTATCTGGCGAAATTCTTACCTTGTTTGTCAGATGCCTGTGAACCACTGCGACGTCTCCTGGACATGGACGCAGTGTGGTGTTGGCAAACACAGCATGAGGCTGCGTTTGAGCACATCAAGACTTTAGTGACTAACACTCCTGTGCTCAGATACTATGATGTGCGTGAAGAAGTGACCATACAAGCAGATGCAAGTGAAGTAGGGCTAGGTGCAACCTTGCTTCAAAATGGTCAACCTGTGTGCTTCGCATCCAGATCCCTTACTCCTACAGAGCAGCGATACGCACAAATTGAAAAAGAATGCTTAGCTGTGGTGTTAGGCTGTGAACGTTTTGACCAATACGTGTACGGTCGTGAGCTGATCAATGTACAAACCGATCATAAGCCACTTGAGACTATCTTCAAGAAATCTCTTCTCTCTTCTCCCAGAAGGCTACAGAGAATGATACTACGTCTGCAAAAGTACCACCTTGATGTCCGCTACAAGAAGGGCACAGAGATGTACATTGCAGATTTCCTGTCGTGAGCCTCACTCCACTCAGGAAGAGAGAGCCGACTTTGAAAGACTATGAAATCTTTGCTGTTTCGGAGGACACTTCCTTCATCAGCAAACTGGAGATAATTAACGCTGCAGAATGTATCACTGTCACAGATCAGCGTCTCGATCAAATTCAGCGTCTCACTCAACAAGACGTCAATCTCCAGACTCTCAAGTCCACCATCTTAGCCGGCTGGCCAGAACAACGTGAGGACACTCCAGTGTGTGTCAGAGACTACTGGACTTTCCGAGAGGAACTGAGTGTTCAGAATGGTGTTCTCTTCAAAGGATCACGAATTGTGATTCTGCCAGCAATGCAAAGTGAAATGCTTCAGTGCCTTCATGGAAGCCATCTCGGAGCCGCAGCATGCATCCGAAGGGCACGTGATGTTGGCCAAACATGACTGTAGACATTAAAGACCATGTTGGTCAATGCACAGTGAGTTCAGAAATGAGGCCCAAACAGCAAAAGGAAACCTTAGTGTCACATGAAGTGCCTGAACGTCCGTGGAGTAAGATTGGTATGGATCTTTTCACTCTACATAATGAGGAATATCTTGTTCAAGTAGACTATCATTCAGACTACTGGGAAGTTGACAAGCTGACAGACACAACTTCCACATCTATTGTTGAGTGTATGAAGTTTAGCAGACATGGCATACCAGATACCGTAGTGTCGGATAACGGTCCACAATTCACATCACGAGAGTTTGCTCAGTTTGCCAAAGACTGGGAATTCAGCCATGTCACAATATCGCCTTATCACAGTCAGTCAAACGGCAAGGCCGAATCAGCTGTAAAGATTGCAAAGAAGCTGATCAAAAAGTCACAAAGAGAAGGCAAAGACCCATGGAAAGCAATCCTGGAATGGCATAATACCCCTACTGAAGGTATGGACAGTAGCCCTGTACAAAGAATTATGTTGCGTCGAACACGCACAACTCTCCCAGTTGCTACACAACTTCTGAAACCTGAGCTTGTTGACAGTGTCAGTGCCAAGAAAGCCCTCAAGCACAGAAAGGCTAAACTCTATTACAACAGTCATGCTAAGGAGCTACCTGAACTCACAGTTGGTCAACCAGTACGTGTTCAACCAGTGCCTTCTGACACAATGGGTAAATGGCGTCATGGGACTTGCGTCAGACAAGTGTCGACAAGGTCATACATTGTTGACATTGATGGTAAAGAGTACAGGCGCAATCGCAAGTTTCTTAGATCAACGTCTGAAACTACACCACCAAAACAGTTGCCGGAAGTTACCAGTGAGATTGAACCAGATTCTCACATAACAGCAAAAAAGACAACTGCTACCAAGACATCGCCTGTTGTGAAACCACCTCCTTCATCGCCACCAGTACCAGTAGAGTTTCCTAAGGAAAACATCAAGACCACCAGGACAAGAGCAGTCAAACCACCAACCAGACTGAAAGACTTTGTTTCCTACTAATTGTGCCAAGGAATGAGCACGATTTGTGAACTGTTTCATTTTTACTTCAAACGCAAAAAGAGCATTGTGTTTGAATTTCTTTGTTGTGTTCTCAGTATGGTATTTTGTCTAAAGGAATTTCAGAGACATTCCACAGAGACTTTACTTAGTTAAGATGTTAAGTTTTATAAAGCAGTTTGAATATTTTAAAGAGACTAATCTGTACATTATTCTCAACCTATCTGCCACAATATACCAGTATTTTAATATTACTTAACTTTTGGAAGAAAAGGGGGATGTTACGAGAGTAATCCTTTTCCGTCATAACTGCACACATTCTTACTTTTGTATGTAACCCTGATGCGTTCTACGTAATTAAAATAGTATACCAACAGTGGCAATGGTTGAACTGGGCACGTGTCATGTTTTCTGACGAAAGCAGATTTTGCATCTTCAGGAACGACGGCCGACAGCGCGTGTACCGAAGAGTAGGTGAACGTTTGGCACCGAACTGCATCCATCAAGTCAGGCCATATGGAGGCGGAGGTTTAATGGTTTGGGGTGGAATCTGCGGTGACGTCAAAACGAGACTCGTCGTTAAATTGAGGAAACCTGAATGCGCAGAGCTATCGTGATGACATCTTACAACCAGTTGTGGTGCCATTCATCCAACAACAGCCTAATGGTATCATTTTCCAGCACGATAATGCGAGGCCTCACACGGCAAGGCTGACCCAGAACTTCCTAGCAAACGCCAACATTCACGTTTTACCATGGCCGGCATGTTCACTGGACATGAACCCCATCGAACACATGTGGGACATTCTCGGCCGCAAAGTCAGGAATCGCCCTGTGCCTCCAGTTAACCTCCAGGAATTGGAACAATGCCTCCTCCATGAATGGCAACGCATCCCCCCCCCCCCCCCCCCCCCCCCCAACGTCATCAGACGTCTGACGTCATCAGCCCGTAGACGTGTACTAGCGTGTATTGACGCTCACGGTGGACATACCCGGTACTAACGTGACTTTGAGACGTGTGTTGTGACATTTTCCACACTTGACACATCAACTGTGTTCAAATAAAATTTTCATTTTGGAACCCCCGCGTCTTTACATGTCTGTCCTTATGATTGTAAAGGATTGATTACAATGAATTTTTGTTCACATACTGTGAAAACATTACTCACAAGTCATATACCAATTTGAAATTTCTGTATCGTTTAGTTTTTTTGTAATGTCCTTTCAAACACGTGGTATCGTTTCTTTTGGACATTAGTTTGGTAACATTAGTTGCTTGTATTGGTTTGTTCGACGTCAGCGATATTATTGTAGTCGAATGATGAATTGTGAGTATATATAAATTCATATCGTGAGTGGTATGTTAAAAGCCAGTGTATGACCTGTTGCTAGGGAAACACGATATTCAATAACGCGAATACCGTATTAATTCTAAAACAAGGCATTATAAATATAATACATATTCACTTGACACTATTTTTTGTTGTTGTATGTAATAGATATAGGTACTTAAACCGATGTATAATGTTATAGCAATTAATATCTGTAATACTGTATTTCATTTGTATAGAACTCATCTATTTATGTATTACATATATACTGACGTCATATAAACATATTCGTTTGAACTAATGATGTATATGTATATACGTGACTCTAGCTCCTGTAATAAACTTTGTATCCATCTGTATCTACAGTATGCCTACTTCAACATTTAGGACTAGTTAGCTGGAGACAAGCCCGATCTCACATTGGCTGAGAATATGTTCATCCTCCAAATTCTGTCCACATAACTGAGTCGTTATATTTGAGCTCAAGATATGGGATATTAAAGCATCTATCTACATACAAGATTTCACGTTGAGGCGTATACCTTTAAAGAAAACTTTTTGTGTGTGTATCCTTGCATGCGGGTTTGTAAAAGTATATATATGACGTGATTTAAGAGTCGTCAAACTCAAGGCCCTGTTCTTTCCACAAAACAATAATGCCTGGTTGCTTCCAACAAACCCAAGTAATATAATGGGAATTCTGCTCCTACTCTTGGATTCACTGAAACTAAGTAAAACAATAGGGTCAATACACAGGCCATGTCGATTTCATGTTAGAAAAACTGGGCTCCCAATAATGCACAACTCAGAAACGTGATTGCACTATAAACAAAGTTTTTTTTATACTATTAGCATGTACAACTCACCAACATACATAATAAGTTTGCATAATGGATATTGTCCGATAGGTCAAGACATGCTGCTATATTGTAGTGTCAGAGCGTACTGTACACACAGACATAGGTCGGTGATAATACCTGTTGACCGTCACCAACCTGTGCTACAGTCGCACACCATATTAGGGCCTATATTGTAACATTTGAAGGGATTATTCCACAAAACCGTTGGTTCGTACGAATGTATAGAGTGTACGTGGTGCAATGAGCTCTTTATTCCAAGGAAATGCTAATTGCGCATGGAAATTGCTCAGAATGTTTCCGTCCAGGCGTCTTTAATTCTAGGTGGCCCCAAGGCTAAGCCTGGTTCGTTGTGTGGGTTTCTGAAGGGCATTCCCGACTCATGAATCATCTGTTTTTCGAAGCGTTGAAGTGCTCTCCAGAAGCCAGAGTTGACAGCTATTCCAGGACGCCGTGTCGCCACTAGTCTGTGGGCGTCATGGAGCGACAGCCGGAAGTGCTGCATGATGTACTGGATTATCACTGCTGCAGCACGCGACTTTCCGTGGTAACTATACACTAACACATGTTTGTTGCCTTTTCTGGCGCCTTCGATAAAGTTGTTGATGTCGCTGAAATGCTGTGAGATATTTTCCCATTCAATATCATCAACTCCTACGTTGAGGCGAGACCGGAAGTGGTTCTGTTTCCTGCACGGACACGGGCAGTTGGTCTTCTTTCCAGTAGGAACTTGTGACGCTGGTACATTAGACAAATCTACAAGTACCTGGACATCCAATTTGCATAATAATGGCTCGTTGTAGGCAGCTTCAATGCTTCCCAAATATAAAAATTCTAAAATCTGCGAATAGGTTTGTCCCGACAACAAACTGTTCGTGTCAGTAACACGTCGACGACTTTTGCAAGGATTGTCAGTTCTTTCTTTGGCCTCAAACTTGCTAGACTGTATGATATTACCACTACGAAGTTGCATGCCTGACCCAGGCGTCTTTTCGAGCACTATGATGTTTTCAATTTTACTGCTATAGCCTTCATTGGTTCCCTTTTGAAGACTCAGATGATTTCTTCCTATTGATTGATACCTACTCTCGACGTTAATACCGCCTGGTTCCTCGTCAACCTCCATCGCTGCTGGAATATTACAGCCGTGGTCTTTATTCCATGTAGAAGAAGATAGAGATACGTGTAGATGACTTATGTCAGGGTAGGAACCACTTATTGATGAACTCCGAATGAGTCGAGAGCCTCTCGTAGCTCTGTCTAAACGGACCAGGAGGCCATGCAGCCGTCCTCTAGAGGGTTTCTTCTGCACCTCTCCACTCATGTCTCCCATTGTTCGCTGACGCCTCAGCAGCCTCTTCCAGGTCTTGGTTGGTGTTTTTTCCAAGAGGGGTTCATCACCTGCAAGAGTATCCGCCCTAGAAAGGCGTCGCCGGGTGATGACTTTGTCGACGTCATTGCCTCTAGTGACGTCGTCCACTCCCGGGTAAGGGTTTGCGAGTCCAGGCAGCACCGCCTCGGTACACGCCAGCTGCTTCTTGGCCCTACTCACCGGCCCAATCGTCATGTGGTCACTGTGAACTCGCCTGCAACAAGTAACATATTAATACAATACTACAGGGTGTCGCGACAATACCTTAAAGATCTCCCGACACTAAACAGCTCTAACTGATAATCCACCTACAGGGCGACGGCAATCATTTTTCTGAATCGCTAAAAAAACGATTTTTACTGCTTGCTTCCACGACGCGTTCGAAATCCTCTTTTAATGATGGCATTTCCGGGTGAAAAGAAAACACGTGGTTTGACAAATACAGTCTTTATTGAAATCATAACGGTGTAAAATCACAATTATAAGAAGAATTATTGATTTTTGTAGTACAGGAACAAACGTGTCTGTGTGCGATTTACTGTTAGCATTGCAAAGAGGCCCAAATGTCAAAAATTCTTTGAAAGCCATCACCAATGTGGCTGCTGGTACGGCTGCTAGTACTAGTCCGAACTAATGCCGATTTCAATAGTCGTTGTATTATCCCGGTAATGCCGAGCGTCAGGCAGCGTAACAACAAGTACCATATTTTAACGTCTGTTGGTATGACGCGTTCGGGGGTCGAATCCCCGATCTTCTGCTCTCCGACCAGACGCTCTACAACTAGACCACGGTTGCGGTCCACCTTAACAGTAAGATATTCCGACCACAAAAGATTTATAATACATTTTTACAAAGTGTCCTGTTAAGATATGTGAGCAGAAATAAATATGTTTTCTTTCTTATTACGAACATGTCTTTCTGCGATATTGCACACTCCACGCCCCCTTGTGACGGTGTACTTTATCATGACTCGATTTGAAGAGTTTTTATTGGCTTTGGAACTGAACTACAATAACCTAACAATGTTCACCATAGCAGTCTCGGAACTAGTCCGGTACTTTTCTGGGTATAGGGAAGGCAGATCCATGATAAAACGATTTACTTTTTTGTGTGTAGTCTCTACTCAAAAAATGATCGAAAAGTTGAAAGTTGAAATGGGACAAACCCTTCCCCAGTTGCTCTCACATAGAAGTTCACGTGATTTTAACGGCTGTTTGATTAAGTATAAGACATTATATATTGGGTTTACATCAAAGGGAAATATCTCCGATGGGACAGAATGAAGTGTTTTAACTATTCAGGGAATAGAGTGCAATGCTTCCTTAACATTTGGATAGACTATGTTCCAACTCTTTGAACCTCACATTACCATTTTTCGAATTTTTCAACTGTCTGCTGTCTCCGTTCAAAATACAGTATATAGTAACCACGTGCTCAATAGCTATTTTCGTCCCCAGCAGTCAATGTATTGTCCAGCTTCTACTTACCAACGTAATAAATGTATGTCTAGCTACATGGCCAGAGTATAAACAGAAAATAATCACTTCTGTTCTGGTCGCTAATGATATTTTCCAAATGATCTGTATATTCTCTGCACGCCGAAACCCGGTTCAAACATAATTTCCGATCATAACGCATTAGGGACATGTCACGTGACCACTTTTGGTAACCATACTATTTATAGATATATGTTTGTTTGGTTTGTTTGTTGTGTTTCACCGCACTCAGCAATATTCCAGCTATATGACGGCGGTCTGTAAATAATCGAGTCTGGACCAGACAATCCAGTGATTGAAAACATGAACATCAATCGGCGCAATTAGGATACGATGACATGCTTCAACCAAGTCAGCGAGCCTGACCACCCCATCAGCTCCTTCGACAAGCATAGTCGCCTGTTATGACATGCATGGGTTGCTGAGAACCTATTCCAACCCGGATCTTCACGGGACTACAGATATATGGAAACTATACCAAGTGTTATAGTTACTAGTATATGCAAACCATATCAACTGTTATAGTTACATGGAAACCATACCTTGTGTTATAGTTACTAGTATATGGAAACCATATCAAGTGTTATGGTTACATTGAAACCATACCAAGTGTTATAGTTACATGGAAACCATACCACGTGTTACAGTTATATGGAAACAATACCAAGTGTTATAGTTATATGGAAAATATACCAAGTGTTATAGTTACATGGAAACCATACCACGTGTTACATTTATATGGAAAATATACCAAGTGTTATAGTGACATGGAAACCATACCAAGTGTTATAGTTACATGGAAACCATACCACGTGTTACAGTTATATGGAAACCATACCAAGTGATATAGTTACATGGAAACCATACATGTGTTACAGTTATATAGAAACCATACCACGTGTTATAGTAATATGGAAACCATACCAAGTGTTATAGTTACATGGAAACCATACCATGTGTTACAGTTATATAGAAACCATACCACGTGTTATAGTTACATCGAAACCATACCACGTGTTACATTTATATGGAAAATATACCAAGTGTTATAGTGACATGGAAACCATACCAAGTGTTATAGTTACATGGAAACCATACTACGTGTTATAGTTACATGGAAACAATATCACGTGTAACAGTTATAAGGAAAGAATACCACGTGTTACAGTTATATGGAAACCATACCACGTGTTACAGTTATATGGAAACAATACCGTGTGATATAGTTACATGGAAACCATACCACGTGTTACAGTTATATGGAAAATGTACCAAGTGTTATAGTTACATGGAAACCATACCATGTGTTACAGTTATATGGAAAATGTACCAAGTGTTATAGTTACATGGAAACCATACAACGTGTTATAGTTACATGGAAACCATACAACGTGTTATAGTTTTATGGAAACCATACTTAGTGTTATAGTTACATGGAAACCATACCACGTGTTACAGTTATATGGAAAATGTACCAAGTGTAATAGTAATATGGAAACCATACCACGTGTTACAGTTATATGGAAAATGTACCAAGTGTTCCAGTTTTATGGAAACCATACCCCAAGTGCTATAGTTACATTGAAACCATACCAAGTGTTACAGTTATATGGAAACCATACCAAGTGTTACAGTCATATGGAAACCATACCAAGTGTTACAGTTATATGGAAACCATACTACGTGTTACAGTTACATGGAAACCATACCAAATGTTATAGTTACATGGAAACCATACCAAGTGTTACAGTTATATGGAAACCATGGCATGTGTTACAGTTACATGGAAACCATACCAAGTGTTATAGTTATATGGAAACCATACCATGTGATATAGTTACATGGCAACCATACCATGTCTTATTGTTATATGGAGGTGAGGTGAGGTGAAATTGGGTTTAACGTCGCGTCCAAGATTATTGCACTTAAATAGCGACGTGCACGTACGTGTGTTGTTTGTGTTGCTGATTGTACTAGTCCGGACTGATGCCGATTTATAGTGCTAGCTCACTGAGATACCACGCCGCAGTTTAACATGAATACCCCACTAAGACACAGTATAAGAGAAGACCAGTCCTTGTTTTAGTTCTTAATGCCGAGCGCCAGACCGGGTAACAACAAGTACCATCTTTAAACGGCTTTTGGTTTGACGCGGTCGGGGATCGAACCCCGGAACTTCCGCTCTCCTGGCGGACGCTCTACCACTAGACCAAGGAGGCGGTCTATAGTTATATGGAAACCATACCATGTGATATAGTTACATGGAAACCATACCACGTGTTATAGTTATATGGAAACCATACCAGGTGTTATAGTTATATGGAAACCATACCAAGTGATATAGTTACATGGAAACCATACAATGAGTTACAGTTATATGGAACCCATACCATGTGATATAGTTACATGGAAACCATACCATGTGATATAGTTACATGGAAACCATACCACGTGTTATAGTTATATGGAAACCATACCATGTGTTACATTTATATGGAAACCATACCATGTGATATAGTTACATGGAAAACATACCAAGTGTTATAGTTATATGGAAACCATACCATGTGATATAGTTACATGGCAACCATAGCATGTCTTTTTGTTATATGGAGGTGAGGTGAGGTGAGGTGAAATTGGGTTTAACGTCGCGTCCAAGATTATTGCACTTATATAGCGACGTGCACGTACGTGTGTGTGTTTGTGTTGCTGATTGTACTAGTCTTGACTGATGCCGATTGATAGTGCTAGCTCACTGAGATACCATGCCGCAGTTTAACATGAATACCCCACTAAGAAACAGTATAAGAGAAGACCAGTCCTAGTTTTAGCCCCTTAATGCCGAGCGCCAGACCGGGTAACAACAAGTACCATCTTTAAACGGCTTTTGGTTTGACGCGGTCGGGGATCGAACCCCGGAACCTCCGCTCTCCTGGCGGACGCTCTACCACTAGACCACGGAGGCGGTCTATAGTTATATGGAAACCATACCATGTGATATAGTTACATGGAAACCATACCACGTGTTATAGTTATATGGAAACCACACCATGTGTTACAGTTATATGGAACCCATACCAAGTGATATAGTTACATGAAAACCATACCATGTGATATACTTAAATGGAAACCATACCACGTGTTATAGTTATATGGAACCCATACCATGTGTTACAGTTATATGAAAACCATACCACGTGTTATAGTTACATGAAAACCATACCACGTGTTATAGTTATATGGAAACCATACCAAGTGTTATAGTTATATGGAAACCATACCATGTGATATAGTTATATGGAAACCATACCATTTGATATAGTTACATGGAAACCATACTACGTGTTATAGTTACATGAAAACCATACCATGTGATATACTTACATGGAACCAATACCAGGTGTTATAGTTATATGGAACCATACCATGTGTTACAGTTATATGGAAACCATACCAAGTGATATAGTTACAGGAAAACCATACCACGTGTTATAGTTACATGAAAACCATACCATGTGATATACTTACATGGAAACCATACCACGTGTTATAGTTATATGGAAACCATACCATGTGTTACAGTTATATCGAAACCATACCAAGTGATATAGTTACATGGAAACCATAAAATGTGTTACAGCTATATGGAACCCATACCATGTGATATAGTTACATGGAAACCATACCATGTGATATAGCTACATGGAAACCATACCAAGTGTTATAGTTATATCGAAACAATACCATTTGATATAGTTACATGGAAACCATACCACGTGTTATAGTTACATGGAAACCATACCATGTGATATAGTTATATGGAAACCATACCACGTGTAACAGTTATATGGAACCCATACCATGTGATATAGTTACATGGAAACCATACCATGTGATATAGTTACATGGAAACCATACCACGTGTTATAGTTATATGGAAACCATACCATGTGTTACATTTATATGGAAACCATACCACGTGTTATAATTATATGGAAACCATACCATGTGTTACAGTTATATGGAAACCATACCATGTGATATAGTTACATGGAAACCATACCATGTGATATAGTTACATGGAAACCATACCACGTGTTATAGTTACATGAAAACAATACCATGTGATATACTTACATGGAAACCATACCACGTGTTATAGTTATATGGAAACCATACCATGTGTTACAGTTATATCGAAACCATACCAAGTGATATAGTTACATGGAAACCATAAAATGTGTTACAGTTATATGGAACCCATACAATGTGATATAGTTACATGGAAACCATACCACGTGTTATAGTTATATCGAAACAATACCATGTGTTACATTTATATGGAAACCATACCATGTGATATAGTTACATGGAAACCATACCAAGTGTTATAGTTATATGGAAACCATACCATTTGATATAGTTACATGGAAACCATACCACGTGTTATAGTTACATGGAAACCATAGCATGTGATATAGTTATATGGAAACCATACCACGTGTAACAGTTATATGGAACCCATACCATGTGATATAGTTACATGGAAACCATACCATGTGATATAGTTACATGGAAACCATACCACGTGTTATAGTTATATGGAAACCATACCATGTGTTACATTGATATGGAAACCAAACCACGTGTTATAATTATATGGAAACCATACCATGTGTTACAGTTATATGGAAACCATACCATGTGATATAGTTACATGGAAACCATACCATGTGATATAGTTACATGGAAACCATACCACGTGTTATAGTTATATGGAGGTGAGGTGAAAAGGGGTTTAACGTCGCGTCCAAGATTATTGCGCATATATAGCGACGTATGTGCGTGCGTGCGTGGCTGCTTGTACTTGTCCGGACCGATGCCGATTTATAGTGCTAGCACACTGAGATACCACGCCGCAGACACAGTATACTGACTCCGAGCCGACCAGTCCTTGTTTTAGCCCCTTAATGCCGAGCGCCAGACTGGGTAACAACAAGTACCATCTTTTAGCGTCTTTTGGTATGACGCGGCCGGGGGTCGAACCGGGCGGACGCTCTAACACTAGACCACGGAGGCGGTCTAGTTATATGGAAACCATACCAAGTGTTATAGTCATTTTTGATATCTTCACGGTATTACCTGTGTGGCTGCAAACTAGAAACTAGTATTTTGATCTATATCAAGGGATTCATCTGGGTACTACGAATACGACTCTTATCAAAAAATTGTTATTACTCCAAGCTGTCCTAAGGATATAGCATTACCAGGTTACCTGTTGCCTGGCAACAGGGAACGCAGGATTCATATATGCTACTCTTACAGCCAATGACATTCAGCACTGAGCCATGGTGTCCTGGAGGGATACTCACCTTATACAAATATAACCAGTATACAGATGTAATGTAGTCAGTGTTACAGGTTTAATATAATTGTTATTAGTCAGTACAAAGGTGTAATGTGATCAATATACATGCAATATTGTCAGTATACATGCAGGTGTGATATAAATAGTCAGTATACAGATGAAATATAGTCCGATTATTATTGTTACATAGTCCGTATAAAGGTGTAATATAGTCAGTATATCATTGTAATATAGTCTATATACAGGTGTAATATAGTCAGTATACGGGTGTAATACAGTCAGTATATTATCGTAATATAGTCCGTATACAGGTGTAATATGTTCCGTATACAAGTCTGTGTGATATAGTCAGTATATTATTGTAATATTGTCCGTATACTGGTGTAATATAGTCCGTATACAAGAGTAATATAGTCAGTATATTATTGCAGAATTGTCCGCATACAGTTGTAATATAGTCCGTATACAAGAGTAATATAGTCAGTATATTGTAATATAGTCTGTATACAAGAGTAATATAGTCAGTATATTATTGTAATATTGTCCGTATACTGGTGTAATATAGTCCGTATACAAGAGTAATAAAGTCAGTATATTATTGTAATATTGTCCGTATACTGGTGTAATATAGTCCGTATACAAGAGTAATATAGTCAGTATATTATTGTAATATTTTCCGTATACTGGTGTAATATAGTTCGTATACAAGAGTAATATAGTCAGTATATTATTTTAATATTGTCCGTATACTGGTGTAATACAGTCCGTATACAAGAGTAATATAGTCAGTATATTATTTTAATATTGTCCGTATACTGGTGTAATATAGTCCGTATACAAGAGTAATATAGTCAGTATATTATTGTAATATTGTCCGTATACTGGTGTAATATAGTCCGTATACAAGAGTAATAAAGTCAGTATATTATTGTAATATTGTCCGTATACAGGTGTAACATTGTCAGTATGTTATTGTAATATGGTCAGTATAAATGCGCAGTATATGCTGAGTAGATACGTCATGTATGGTGACATTGTTACAAGCTGTAATATTACGGGAAAATCACAACGGTATGTAATCGACTGAGAGCACTAAGTTACGCCATATTTCTATATGGTGAGGGCCATCGGCGCAATAACGTTCCTCATTACTGGAGTTGGTGTGTCCGGCCAGACTATACACTACGGGACAATACCCGTGTCACTCTCCCCGGGTTTCAGTGACATGGTCAGCATCACAGTAATTGCAACAAAATGTCGATAGGTCACACTGACACTTTGTGATTTTCATATTCTGCTTTGAAGAAACGCATATGTGCTCCGTTACCACATATGGTATTGACACATTGCACAGACAGCGGATGACTGAACTTAAAGCTGCGCCTATTCGACATCAATGTGGCCATAAACATGATCAAATATAGACAGTGTCATGAATCGCTACTGCAAATATACAACGATCAATGGTCCTGTCTCCACACATATGTCAAATACTAATCTTAACTTCAGGTGTGCTCTGTCTTTTTTTACTTTCTCGCCCGGTAAGTCCGCTTGGAAGACCGGCTGGAAGATCGTCCTCTCGTTCACGTGAACGTACATGCTAGCATCCATAATCTTGTCACTTCTGTTCTTGTCGATGTACGATTAGACATGTTAGTTTGTTATATTTCTCGACGTTTTAAAGAAATATCCACATGTAGACACTTTTGTTTTTGAGATCATTATGCTATCAAACTCTTGAAGACGCATATTAACACAGTCGTTCAAGCGCCAGTGTTTAGTGTGAGGAACTGCAAGTCTGAAAAACATGTCTACAGTTGCCATGCTTACCTTGCCATGTTTACAAGCGAGTGTCCGAGTGTGTAGAGTGATGCCGGTTGTAATGAGAACACAGTCACCAGCATCTTCTCTATCGATTATTGCGGCAGCACTCATAGCTCGCCAATCACGTTAGCCAATACATTGGATTAGGCCATGTGCTACGCAGAGCTTTCATGACGCGGCCGACAAGGAACATCAAATCACGGAATACTAAAAATCAGCCGCTTCATGTAATTACATCCATGTAATCCATGTGTGGTTCATGCATATATAGTGTCAACAAGGACTAATCCCTTTCCATCGATTACAGGCAGATATTATGTAATATCATGAGATCCTTGTTCCGAATCTAACAAAGATGTGGTGCTTGGGTTTAGCTGTGATATAAGCCTGATCTCTCATAAGTAACTCAACGTTTAATGATTGTATTTCTGATACAGCTATTTGGAACAACTCTGGGGCCGAATGTGTAACACCTGCGCTCTGTCTGTATAGAAGGATCTGTTGTAGGAGGATCAGCCTCTGTCTGTATATAAGGGTCTGTTGCAGATGTACCAGCCTCTGTCTGTATAGAGGGTCTGTTGTAGGTGTACCAGTCTCTGTCTGTATAGAAGGATCTGTTGTAGGTGTACCAGCCTCTGTCTGTATAGAAGGATCTGTTGCAGATGTACCAGCCTCGGTCTGAATAGAAGGATCTGTTGTAGGTACCAGTCTCGGTCTATATAGAAGGATCTGTTGTAGATGCACCAGCCTCTGTCTGTATAGAAGGATCTGTTGTAGATGTGCCAGCCTCTGTCTATTTAGAAGGATCTGTTAAAGGTGTACCAGCCTCTGTCTGTATAGAAGGATCTGTTGTAGATGTACCAGCCTCTGTCTGTATAGAAGGATCTGTTGCAGGAGTATCAGAATCTGTCTGTATATAAGGATCTGTTAAAGGTGTACCAGCCTCTGCCTGTATAGAAGGATCTGTTGTAGGGAGTAGGGGGATCAGCCTCTGTCTGTATAGAGGCTTTGTTGCAGGAGTATCAGAATCTGTCTGTATAGAAGGATGATATATAGGAATATCCGATGTTGATTAACGAAAAACCAAAACAATGAAAATGCAACCCATTTATTTAACCCAATCGAACACAAACTCCTGTTCTATTGTCTACTGTTTCAGCACCTCTTTACTCGGCAAACTCACCTGTCTAACTAAAACTCCCAGAAACTCCCATGTCCCAGTCATTAACAAAATCTTCACGGAAAGCACGTGCTTTCCGCGAAGCAGGGTGTGTTTTGTATACTGGGATCTGATAATGACTGGGACATGTGCGTTTCTGCGAAGTAGGGAGCGTTTGTTTTTAAAACCCTCCCGAACATACCCCCCCTCCTTGGCAGGATACTGACAACTACAAATTAATAATAAGCAACATTCTTACTGAACATTCAAATTACACTTAACAGTGCCAAAATCAAACAATTTCAAATCGATAACATTCCAAGAATTGTCCTTTGTGTCCTCGAAATCGCATACAAACTCAAGCAATATGACTCAGTCAAATTCACACAAAAAACAGTTCATTTACAAAAAACAGTTCGATCACAATGTGTTCTTCAATATTATAGTCACTGTTCACACTGAATTGTCAAAACTTCACTGTCCACCTGAAACAATTCACAATTCACATTCTCCATAGAAAACTTCATTGCAGTACATACCTGAAACAAAAGATTCACTATTCACCCTTTCTCACAGAATGTTTTAGTGGAAAATGCCTGAAACAAAATTCACAATTCACACTATCCTTCATAATACTCCAATGGACACAACTTTTTCACAGGTCTGGTGAGAATATGCTGTCCTACTTGTACGTCCACCACTCTGACGTGTCCGTCACATCCAGGATGAATCTTGATGATAGTTCCTACGGGCCAATGTCCTCTTGCAGCATCAGGAGATATCATCATCACGACGTCACCGACACGTAGATCCTTGCACAGAGTGGTCCACTTCTTTCTTGTGTGGAGGCTGGGTAGCCATTCCCGCATCCATCGCCTCCAGAAATGACGTACCAGCTCTTGAAGCCGTCTCCATCTCTTCCTGGGATGGTAATCCGTCTCGTCTGTAGACTCCGGCGCAAACATCCCTCCAATCTGCCCATGGATGAAATGGTTCGGCGTAAGGGGATTGTCATCCAGAGGATGAGCACTTTGATACGTTAGAGGACGTGAGTTTATCAGTGCTTCTGCACCTGTGAAAGCAGTGCCAAGTTCCTCATCCGTAACATCACTGGTGCTTAAAATGGCAAATATGGCACGCTTGGCAGACTTGACCATGGTTTCAAACACTCCACCAAAGTGTGGCGCATAAGGTGGATTAAAGTGCCATTTGATTCCCTTGTTGGCTAACGACCGAGTGATGGCGGTCTTATCCAATGCTTCAAAAAGTTGCTTCAGTTCCCTGACAGCCCCGACAAAGTTTGTGCCATTGTCAGAAATGACGTCAGTTGGTAGCCCTCTTCTGTTCACCATCCTGAAGAATGCATTCAGAAATGCATTTGTATCCAAACTGTTTGCCATTTCCAGATGAACAGCGCGTGTAGACAAACAAGTAAAGAGACACAGGTATCGTTTGTTACGTGTTTTTCCTCTTCCTTGGATGGTAAAGAACGGACCTGCGTAATCCACGGCTATTTTGCTGAAGGCACGAAGCGACACCTGAAGCCTTAACTTGGGCAAAGGAGCCATAACTTGTAGAATTGGTTTAGCCTTCATTATACGACAACGTGAGCACTCCCTTTCCCATTCTCGGATCACTTCTCTGGCAGAGATTATCCAATATTTTGAAGATAATGCTGCCAAAGTTTGATTTGTCCCATATGAATGATGGCCATCCTCGTGATACGATTTCACAATGAGTTTTGTGACCCAACTTCGTCGAGGGAGAATTATTGGACATCGTGCTGCATAAGGCAAACAGTCTGCGTCTGTCAAACAACCACTTAACCTCATTACCCCATGTTCATCTAACTGTGGGTGGAGTGGTGAGATCTTTGAAGAAACTAGAAGAGGTTTCTTAGATTTTAAGGACGTATATTCCTTTTGGAACTCATCACGCTGAGTTTGAACAATGATTCTGCTTTCTGCATCGTTTAGCTCTTCCACAGATAATTCTCCCGAGACTCGACTATCTGCTGGCGCACAACAGTTAGTTATGAACCTGAAAACCCAGGCATTCACACGGGTAAGTCTTTCCCAGTTGGAAAATCTTTTAGGTTCAAGCCTCCAGTTGGGATCAGGATCCACAACTGCAACCATGGTAACCATCTGTTTTTTCCTTTCCCTGTCAACGAGATCAGATACATATACCAAACTTTTGTCTGTCGGCCATTCAGTTTCATCTTTTACCAAAAAGGAAGGCCCAGACCACCACAATTGATTGCTTTTTAACTGTGAAGCTGAGGCACCTCTAGTTAAGAGATCTGCAGGATTGTCAATGGATGACACATATCTCCATTGGGATGGATTTGTGGCACAATGTATCTCTCCGACTCTATTTGCCACAAAAGGTTTGAATGTTCTGCTGTTGTTTTTGATCCAACACAAAACATTCATGCTATCTGACCAAAACTTTACTGTTTTGATACTTATATTTAGAACTCTGCTGATTTCTGAAACCAGTCTGACACCAACAATTGCAGCCATCAATTCAAGACGAGGTATGCTTATGGACTTCAGTGGAGCCACTCGACTCTTTGCAGATACCAGCCTACTGGTAGTACTCTCGTTCAGGTAAGTATGAACAGCATAAACAGCAGCGCCATATGCTTCCTGAGATGCATCAACAAAGCAATGGAGACACACCTCTTCTACAGAATTGCGGAAACGGAGACATCTTGGTATTTCAAGGGTTTGTATTTCTGACCACTGCTCTAACCATTTACTTACTTTGTTTTTTAGATGCTGCGGAAGACAATCGTCCCAACCCTGCCCAGTCAGCCATATTTCCTGAAGGATGATCTTAGCAGTTATAGTGAAGGGGCTTATAAGACCAAGGGGGTCGAAAAGTCTAGACACATGACTCAGGAAATCCCTCTTTGTTTTTACTTCCTGTGGATTGATCAGTGTGCTAAAGGTGAACATATCACTTTTAGCAATCCACATCAGTCCAAGTGTCTTAACTGATGGTAAATGCCCTTTGCTGAGGTCGATCTCAGCAGTTCTATCTTCCACGGGAATGTTATCCAGAATTCTAAGCGAGTTTGACAACCATTTCCTTGCATGCATAGCAGCACCTGACCAGAGTTCATTCAACTGCTTGTACAGCTCCAAGCCCTCATCCTCATCCTCAACCGAGTCCATACTGTCGTCCATATATGTGGACTCTAAGACAGTCTCCACTGCTCTAGGAAGATCTTCCTGATGTATTTTAGCATGCTGTTGGGATACAAATTGGGCTAAGAAGGGAGAAGAAGTATTGCCAAATACCACTCGATTGAACTGATACACCTCTGGAGTAATGGTTGTATCCATGGACCTCCACAAGAACCTATGAAAACCCCTATCACTTGGAGCAAGTTCTATCTGTAGAAACATCTCTGCTATGTCGCAGATAAGTGCTACTGGATACCTGCGGAATCTCAACAAAACATCAAAAAGCTCGCTGTGAAGCTTGGGGCCGGGATCAATCATGTCATTCAGTGAGATATCCTTATACCTCGCCGATGCATCGAACACTATTCTAACTTTTGTTGTTGCCTTATCAGGACGCAGAATTGGAAAGTGTGGTAAATACCACTTGGATTCATCTGACTCATTCGATGATACTTTGGAGATGTACCCTTTTTTCTCATATTCAGAGATTACATTTCCATATGCCTGTGCAATACATTTGTCTTTCTTTAACCTCTTTTCAGTGCTAACTAGTCTTCGGAGGGCCATGTCATAATTATTTGGAAGACAAGGAACCTCTTGTTTCCATGGTATTCCTACCTGGTAACGACCCTTCTCAAATGCAAGTGATTCATGAGCCTTCTCAAGCGATTGTTTCTCAATTGGGCTAAGAATTTGTTTATGACTATTTACTTCCTCAA